CGAACCGTTTTCGAGCGCCATACCAACGGCTCCTAGAAAAAGTGTGCCTGGAACGTCGTTCTCTTTTCGTGTGGGACCTTCCTGCCAGCGCGCAATTTCGGAGGTCATGCCTCCTGCCACGTGTTGCGACCAAGGAAGTTGGTCGCAACACGTGGTCGCAACACATAACCATACCGCTCTGTCACGTGACATCACAGCTGCTCTGGGGCAACTGTGAGAGCATAGCTGTGTTCGCAGGGAGCGGCCGCCAGAGGCGTTCACCTTCGCGCCAGAGGGGGAGGGTAAAATCAGAGGGTAGGGCAGCACGCTTGCGGCTCACGCTCACGGCATAATTTTTTAGGGGGCATTGACCCTACCAAAGTCTATCAGCAGGGTAAGCAAAGTTAGGAAGGACCAACCATAACCGCATGCACGCCAGTTTCTAGCGACAGCGATAAGCGGTAACAACAAACTTGCTCCCTCACGTGTCATTGTTCCTTGAATGAAAAATGATTGATTCATTTGTGGGGTTTAACGTCCCAAAACCACCATATGATTATGAGAGACGCCGCAGTGGACGACCCCGGAAATTTCGACCACCTGGGGTACTTTAACGTGCGCCCAAATCTGAGTACACGGGCCTACAACATTTCCGCCTCCATCAGAAATGCAGCCGCCGCAGCCGGGATTTTAACCCGCAACCAGGTCAGCAGCCGAGTACCTTAACCACTAGACCACCATAACGGGGCAATAGTGAAATGCCTCTTCTTATGATAGCACAAATTGCTGCCCTTGGAGATATGTGTGTCAGCCACTCGTGACGTATCTGAGCAAGCATTGAGAATATCTGTGTATGTATATTCATATTTGTGTTGGTCCTTTCTCACGTGCTCACATGAGTGTGACTCGTAAGACAAGTGCACACTGGTTTTCGAGAATAAACTCTGTTGGAAGTTAGCGCTCCGTCTCTCTACATGTGCATTCATTTTTTCCCGTCTTTTACGTGCGCTACAAAGAAAACTTACTGAACACGAGCTATACCAACAAGCCAGCATCGCATCTCTACAATCGAAGGTGGGTTTGTAATATACACGCCATACTTCTGTAGCAGTATTCACTTACCCAAATACAGTGATTGCCAGGGTCACACTAGTCTCTTGCCGTCCAGTACTTGCACAAAGCGCTGTGAGCATCACCTTTTTTCCTCAGGACACCGTCACGAATGCCTGTGGTGCACGGCGTCGTGATGACTACATAACTTCACATTTCGTATGACTCCCGGAATCTCGCTTCATGTGGCATCAGACGATTTTTCTTCCGCTGTTCATTTTGTCTATGCTTACTCCTTACGTTCATTCAGACATAAGATCGTCTCAAAACAAGCGACGTTATTGCATTCGTTGCAGCTGCATTCCTCGCTAGTCGCGAGGTGAAGTGGTGCCTCCGAAGCGTCCTTGTCAAGATATGCAGGCGGAATATGCGGCAGGAAACGCGGCAGTGTCTCCTGCGGGGGAAGCAACACAGGTGCTGGGATCGATCGCGGCGTCCCCTGACCGCACCGGTTGCCCTGATCTCTCCCCAGGGCACAGAACGCGTTGCGATGTCGAGAACTTTTTTTTTCTTTTGTGTAACGCCGTTATTCTTCAGTAAAAAAAAAACAATTCAAGTGGGCAGCTATCTACTTAAGTGTAAATGTCAAGCGATGCTGAGAGATGTTATAATTCAGACGCTGGCACCATAATAGAGCAAAGAAAACCTTGCGAAGCCTACATATTCATACATAATCATACATAAGCCTACATAATCAGGAAGAAGGCAATCGAAGCGTGAGTGAATGAAGATTTTTTTTTCCATAGCATCGAAATGAGGTTTATTCATGAGCTTTGTTAAGATGACGTATTCGGATTTTTAAGCTTTCAGGGGCAAAGCTCTTGTCGAGCCTTGTTCGCTCTCATGGTCCGTAAAACCAAAATTGAACTTCTGCACTTCAAAAAACGAAAACAGCTGTGTCAAAAACCAACTTTAGGTGTACATCAATCAAGTACACGACAGTCCAATACGTTATCACCTGCGCTTTCCTTTCAGCTTCTACACTGTATAGTAGGCAGCTTCATTAATCATTCACTTCGTGAAGATGCGTTGTTTTTTTTTTCTTTTTGGCGGTGACTTTTTAGAAACTCACATGTGTGGTGATGGTTTCTGCAGAATGTACTTGTAGGTGTAGTGCGTGAAATAAGATTGCGAGTTCGCGCTCGTGTATCATTCGTTTTGTTCTAAGATGCCCAAACATTAGACTCTTTTGTAGGTCGCAATCATTTAGATTTCAGTATATAATTATCAGCAGGAATTACATTAACAACATAACAATAACATTAAACATAGTAGCGCCACGCCACGAGAATCACAGTCGGAAGCAGCCTCACCAACAGCCCAATGAAGAGCCAGACAAACGATGACTTCGGCACACAACGCTCACTCAAACGAACTGTCACGTAAGTGTAGGAAAATTGATTGATTGATTTGTGGGGTTTAACGTCCCAAAACCTTTATATGATTATGAGAGACGCCGTAGTGGAGGGCTCCGCAAATTTAGACCACCTGGGGTTCTTCAACGTGCACCCAAATCTGAGCACACGGGCCTCGACATTTCCGCCTCCATCGGAAATGCAGCCGCCGCAGCCGGGATGAGTGCAGGAAGATAAGCGCTACTATTGCTTGAATGCATGCACAAAAACTAAACAGCGCGACATGGTGGCCTGGGGTGTATTGACCCGAAGGTCGCGTGCTCGATCCCGGCGGTCGCCTTTCGATGGAGGCCAAATGCCCGTGTGCTCAAGAACAAGGACGAGAATCAGGGTGAATTTAAACAATTCCAAAGAAGCCGTTTTCGACATTGGCACCACGCACGAGGACTGACGTCCATAGGAGAGACGACAGCACGCTGGCCCGGACTCGACGCTCACAGTGCACACCGACGTAACGTCTTTTTCCTCACCGCGTCATCGTCGTCCGCGCGACGACAAACACGGCCAGAAGATCCCGTTGCACGATGACAGAACGCATCCGCTCGACGGACAAACACAAAAACAACCCGCGCAGCGATCAGGCGAGCGACGCTATCGCGCTTCTCGGATTACGCGCCCAGCGTCGCCTGTGCTCTGGCAAGTGTTAACGCTCACACGGCCGCTATATCAACGCTCCCACCAATCTCGGCCAAACACACTCGCCAGTGTTTGCTTCTCGTCTCGCTTATGTGAGCGCTGCGCTGCATTTTTTCTTTTCCTTCACGCAATTGCGAGCCCTCACCGTGGGGCACGAACTGTCGGGCAATAATTCGATTTGCGAACGCCAGAGGCGGGCCGTTACATGCGTACCACGTGATCGGAGGTGCGGCGCGGCCAGCGAACTTGCCACGGAGCCGTCAAGCGCGATAATACGCTAGACTGGGAGAGATAATCCGGCCGGACGTAATCTGACGCGCCAGCCCGATCACGTGGGTGCCTCCCGACACATCGCGCTCTCTTCTTTCTCTTCCCGCTCTCTTAGCAACGCTTATCAAAACCCGGAAAGGCGCCCCTTCCATTGAAGCTCGCCGCGCTTCTCGTTTTTAAAGATGCTGAACTGTAAACGAGCGCCGCGGCAAACTATATCGGAACAGCTTGGCGGAAATGAACCCTTCCAATATCGCGGCCATCGGCGCACCTTCCGAACTGAATCGATTTTCACGGGAATCACACTGCCATGAAGAGCTCCACTGAGGCACTTCAGTAGCAGCCTTCCGATATACGACTTAATACGCCGTGTGTAAAGGCAAAACCACACACGCACAAAAAAAGAAAGAAAATGTGACATCTGCTCTACTTTAAATAGAAATACTGGAAGGTTAGGTCTACAGTGGCATTTAGAGCAATAAATACGGTTACATTTGAGTTAAGAGATGATCTGCGTACGACCTGGTGTATACCGATACCGTGCACAGTCTTCATTCCGCGGCGATTTCAGTTCACAACGATGTTCCACGTTTTTGTTCCATAACTTTCGCACTCATTATCGAAGCACATACGTTATCTGTTGTAACGTAATAACAATTACCTTGTTTAGAAAAAGTTTATTTACAGCATGTACAGAAAAAGGCTTCATACCATTCCAGTAACAGGGCACATACACTTCGGCACATCTATATTTCACGTGTAAGAGGCTTCTTTCAGAATCCCTGACGGAATCGTTCGAGCGACTTAGCAGCGCTTGGCTAGACTTCGATGTTTGGGTGAGAACGTATCCGCCCATGCTTCAACACGCTGTACGTTTGCGTTAATAAGCAAGTGAGCGTACACTAACTACGTTCGCCATTACAAAGCGCTTTCGTTCTTAAAATTAAACATGTATAAAAACTGATTCACCGAAAATTAGCACGTATGATGCCTCAATCTGGGAGCAAAGCCTCAGAAAATTCATTCAATCACTATAGTGAATGAATGAATCATTTTTAGAGTTATGATTGAATGTAAGTCAACACGCTTCATTATTTCCTATCATTACACATTTTGCACAAAATCAAGCCTCGCTTAATCTCCACTTGCATTTCGTCGTAAGAAATTTTGATTAGCAATCTTTGACGCCATCATTCATCATGCACAGCTTCGTGACGAATTCTATTTAGTATGCTTCATTTAGCTTAGATCAGGCGCGATAAGTACGCACTAATCCTTTGCAATCTATTCTGCCAATGACATCGGAAGAAAGGAATCGGCTTGCTCCACAACGCGCCCGTCCTGTTTGCGTGTTCCTTCTCCGCCTTATTCCTTTTTTGCGCTACTAATATGAAGACAAGTGACCAACTAGACCGCATCACCATCTTGACCGCTCTAATGGCTTTGGCCCAGTGGGCTTTAAAGGAAACAAATAAATAAAATGCAAGCCAGACTATAGAGTAAGTCACCCACAAGTCTCAAAGCTGCCGTTTCTACTTATAGTGACTCGCACAGGTATCCATCTCGAATCGTAGAAAAAAAAGCACCGACCTGTTGCGAGACCAACAGCCGCAGTCCTACGAAACGGGGGTCCTGACCATGTCGTGTTCTGCAAAAAAGAGACGGACGTCAGAGAGACGTGCACAAAGCATTGCTCAGTGGTTGTGATTTTCTAAGTAACACTCATAAGTGCTGCACTGAATCGAGCCTGAACGCAGTCAACCCTATAACATAGAGAATAATAATACCTGGGCTTCCAAAACCTCGATATGATTATGAGAGACGCCATAGTTAATGCTCGAAAAGTTGCGACCGTCTGGTCTTCTTTATTGTGCACTGACGATTGACACTGCACGGTGCACCATTTCAGCTCCGTCAAAATGCGCACCCGCTATTTTGGGGTCTGCAGCCGAGCGCCGTCACCAGCCTGACGCACTCTGACATAAAATGCTAAAGTATAGGAATAGCATTGTGGTGCGTATAAGAAAGAATGCAATGCTGGGCACAAGATATTCTACACACCATCTATGCGAAGGCGGAATAGCCTACTGTTGCGTTTGCGCATCGCTCGCCGCTTGACTGGCTCATCTGCTCATCTGCTCCGGACGATAATCGCGCATGTGCCTTCATATGTTTTTTAAAGACGATAGCCTTTTCGGAGACCTTCGACGGTAAAAATTTGGTTTGTCTGTCTGTCTGTCTGTACATTTGTCTGCTTGTTTACCCTAACGATACCTCAAACGCCACCAAACGGTCAACCACATCCGCCGCACCCACCAATAATGCTCAAGGTTCAGCGTTCATAGTTGTGCGATTGTCAAATAAAAAAGCAAATATTGCGCATATCTGAGGCACCATAACCACATGCTTATGTTTTGTATGTCTGCCTTTATAGTAGAAAAGGACCCGCACAAAATACTCTAAGGACTGTAGCGTTTAGCGTGCAGCGCTCACAGTGCAACGCGATGCTCAAGAAGGTGTTTCCAACGCTTCGCTAAGACGGCACGGTGGTGGCACCTGCCCGTCGCTTTCCATTCTACAGCTTATCACCTCCGTGACTGGCGCGCATCTTTATCCGCGGTCGCGCATGCCTTCGTTTTCGAAGGTAACTGCCAGATGGAGCTCGTGTTTAACGTGCCTAGATGCGCTTGTTCGTCTCCGTTACACGTACACTCGAGGCACACTACGCAGCGCCTTAAGAATACCATTCACCGATTTTCTTGCGCAGATTATCACATAAACGTTTTGTCCACTCTCTCCAGACGCAAGACTATCGTCTTTCGACGACATTTACAGTGTAACATGTAGATTCGGCCCAACCTTTTTTCCCCTTTTTGTTCACGGCGTGCCTTGATAAAGGACTGCGGACCACGCCGGGGGCCTATCCTTCAGTGTGTTCTGATACTCACTGTAGACGGCTAAATAGATAGCTAAATGAACAGCGGCCGTCTTAAGTATCATTCCAATTCTCACGTAACCGGCAAACCAGACCACTCCGAGAAGACCGCATCGTAGACAAATACGATGCAGGCTACTATGCTGTCTAAACAAGATGGCAGCTCACCGAATCGCTCAGATAGATCAGACCTCGCTGGAATGGTCGTCTGCACACAAGCAGACGCTTCTCCAGTAGCTCAATGTAAGTCACGTTTAATTTTTTGGATTTCAATAAGAAAAAGAAAATTCGACAGATCCCACGTAGCTGAGTATCAACGTTATGCGAAGCATGTGGAGGGAAGGTGACCGTGTTGCAATATTTTTATTGAGCGACACGTCATGGAATGACGATAAATATATGTTCGAATGTTGCACGCACAGACATATGTTGAAGAGTTGCAGATGCTTATATAACCAGTTGTGTGCACTTGCGCGATGATGCGAACTGGAACATGCGTATTTGCAACACCAGAAGCTGGTATCAAGCGCTTATGCTCGCAAGGATTCTGGCCCTGGACACTGCTACATAAATAAACTACAGCGCACGGCAACTAACCACAAATGACGTTAACCCGACGTGGCGGCTGTATCGAAGGGTTGCATATGTAATGTTTATAAAATTAGCTCATACCTACATACTGTGGCACATAACTACGAGTGGCACATACTCGCCCATGGGTATGTCCCACTGTCTGGCGGGAAGTGTCTCGCGACGTATGCGACGCGATTGTCACATTATTTATGTCTTGACCAGCACGACATATTCGTCAATCCATGTTTCCCTCCCATGCTAATTTTGGTTCACGCCAAGTTAAGGGGGTTGACCACGAGAGCATCCAAACTCAACCGGCCAGATAGATAGTTAGATACGCTAAATGTCGCCGAAGTTAGCTAAGAAATGCTTCGCATTCAATAAACCAGAAAATACAACTGTTACATTTGTTTATTTTGGCTTTCTTTTCTCGACGCGGGGTGGCGCCTCGTCGCGTAAAAGCCATCTAGACATGTTCCACTTTTCGAATAGCTTCAGCTCGTTGCTGTCTTCTAAGCTGTCTGCGTAGACTGTCTATACTTGCTGTCTAAGAATTTGAACAGATCTCTTTTGTACACCTTCTCTCGGCAAGCGTACCTCATTAAAAAATACGCTCTTCCTTCCCTCGTTGTCTTCCTCTGCCAGCTGGGAGCCCAACTCGGCCAAACTTAGCACTATGCTAAACATAAAAAAGTTTAATTTCCCTCGAGTAGTTACAAATGTGAAAAATGCGTTAGTGCAAATAAGTGAATGATTTATTTTTCGTGCAATAGCATTACAGAGCTCATTTTGCAGAATTTATGGTGTCGGTGTGTCTGGCTTTCAGAATAAAAAAGCAATGCCGTCAGTGAGCCAAATTGGATGTAGACGTAATTAAAGAACATTTGAAAAAAAAAAACTTATGTAGCACGAGGAGAAATAAGGCAACAGGAAGGCACAGATGGACAGGACCTGTTCTGTTCATTTGCTGTTTCCGTATTTAGCCCCGCGCTACAAAAATATTTCAAATGCATCATCAACAAGCCCACATTGCAACTTTCGTCTAGTAACAAAAAATATGAAAACCTTGTCTGAGTTCGAATGGAGCCCATGCCTTCAGCGTGGCAAGCAATTGTTCCACCACGGTTCCAGTCAAGTGATTTACACTGTTGAGTTAAAAAATATATATATAACGATACCTTAAAGGCACTTTCTACCACTTAGAAACATTTTTTTGTGATTGTGGCAAAAATTAGAAGATCGTTCACCACAACGGCGGCAACGAGCATGACTTTGTCCCATAAAAAAAGAATTATATTTTGAATTTGATGTTGCAAGTTCACAAAAGATGGCTGCTAGCGCCACCAGGTAACGATTCACTCAATCTACCTATAACGGAGACAGCGATCGCTTCAACATGAGCAGAGGTGTACCCCAAGGAAGCGTTCTAAGCCACTTATCAATGCTGCAATGGCAGGTCTTCCAGAAGTGCTGCCCGAAACTTGGACATATCCATGTACGCAAACGACATATGCTTATGGACGTCTCACAAATCACTGTAAGTGTTGAAACATCGGCTTCAACTTGGACTAAACGCAATAAGCGATTAGTACCTTAAAGAGCGAGGCATGCACATTTCTCATGCCAAATCAGTAGTTCTGCCGTTCACGAGAAATACAGTGAAAAACTTGAAACGTTTTCTGCATGGCCAGAGAATTGAAATCACACGAACACATCGCTTCTTTGATGTTACCTTAGACGGCCAACTCAGATGGAGTCCGCACATTGTCGATCTAGAAATTCAAGTGAACGTGCATGCACCATAAATGTTATTCGACGCATGACGGGAACCAAATGGGGCGGTCAATCAGCGTCTCTATACTCGTGCACGTCCATTGTGCACTAATTCGACAGAAAATTGCCTACTCCACGCCAGTTTTCCACAACATTTCTCAGACGTCTCTACACTGACTTTAGCTGTTAGAAGCGCCCCGCCGCGGTGGTCTAGTGGCTAAGGTACTCGGCTGCTGACCCGCAGGTCGCGGGATCGAATCCCAGCTGCGGCGGCTGCATTTCCGATGGAGGCGGAAATGTTGTAGGCCCGTGTGCTCAAATTTGGGTGCACGTATAGAAACCCCAGGAGGTCGAAATTTCCGGAGCCCTCCACTACGGCGTCTCTCATAATCATATGGTGGTTTTTGGGACGTTAAACCAAACATATCAATCAATCAATCAATCAATCAGCTTTTAGAAGCACGAAGCTTACGCGCATGTCTGGGGGTTCCACAGGCAAGATCAAGTTCTATGACACTGGCTGATGAAAGAGAAGCCAACTTTATAGCAATTAGAAATGTTGAGACCTGTCGGCCCGTCTTTCAACAAGTCACGCAACACCCTTCACATCCGCTCATATCCAACATCGGCAACCATGCCGGAGCGCAAATACACCATGTGTACCATAAGTGCGTTTCCCGGTTTCATTTGTCGACACATTGGTTACTGGACCAAAACTACCCGCCATGCCTGCTTGAGCTACCAACATATTTGCACAACGCAAGACTACGAGCAGTTACGGCGTAACTACGGAAGAAGTGACAAGGACAGAAAGCAGTGCTCACTTCAACTTAAGTTTTATTAATGCAAACGCTGGATTTACACACTCGTGACAGATATCAGCACATCACCGCACAATCGCGCAACCTATTGCGTCCCAGCCAGACAATCATTATTTCATTATGTTGGCATGCCATACCGCAGCATAACCTCACAATATATTGCGTCAAAGCCAAATACTCGGTTTCTTTAGTAGTCAGAGCAAGTGAAGGCATGCTGATACATATATCACCCAGCATTTACATTTGATTTGCCTCAATAATTTCTCCTGTTAGCTGCTGACAATGTTTTACGACAACTGTGCCCTTTTCAAATTCCGGTCTGCAACCACAATCTATACAATGAATACCCAGATGGCCTTGAACAGCTGAGTATACATGGTAATGATGCTTCTTTAAACGCTCATTCAGACACCTGCCCGTTTGCCCAACATACATTTTGCCGACAAAGGGATCAAGCAAACGACAGCAATCACCCATGCTATGAATAGCCTTCTATGTTTAATGGGGCAGCAGCTCCTTCGTGAGGACTGTGCATACACACGCTTA